GCATACAAACAATAGAAGAATGCAAACTAAGGCACAGCACACATGCCTCTATGAATTAAAGCATCTTTCTTGAGCAGGAATATTTTCCCAGAGCTCAGCACCAAAATGTGGAATAGTCTCAGTATAATTAACCTGCTTTGTGATGGTCAGACTACACAGATACTTTATTTACAAGTTATATCATCACAGGCTGTGTTGATTGACCTCTATCCTTTTCTGTCTAACCGAAGCTCTGCTTTAAGGCAGTAAACTCTTAACAGAAGAGAGGATTTCAAAAAGGGTATGTACTTGTTGTATTTTCAAAAGTGCCAGGCAGGCCTGGGAAAACTATCATTTTTTCTTCTACAGAAAGGCTTAAACAGAAAGACAGAAGCTTGCCTATATTTATACAGTTTTATCAGTTCCCTAAAGAAAGCTGAAAAATTTAACCGTTTTTTCAGGACTGAGAACAAAGAGGAAAGCATGAGTATGAGTTTCTCAGTTTTTGAGGAAATCAAATGAAAAAGACATAACAAAACAATACTGAATAAAATTATGAAAAAAACCCCCCACTTATGTATAAAACTGGGTATATAAATCCTACACAAAGGCTTAATGATTGTGACACTAAAGTACAGAAATTTCCTTGCAGGTAAAGGAAATGAAAGACTTCAGAGTTGAGTTCTTTGAAAGAAGTCTACTATTCAAATAAGCAAAAGTAAAAATCCTTAGCTCAGAAACCTCAAAAGAACATGAGGAACAGCATACCCCAATGCAATACATAAACGACCACAGTTTAAAACAAACAGCACCCAAAATTTATACACCTCACACTAGATCACATGATGGGAGAGAAAGACAAGGGAAGGACAGGCTATATAATTGCATTTGGCAAGTGGAATTCCAGAGTGTAAAACAGGATGGAGTATTAGACTGTGGTGTTAGAGCTGCTGTTGTTGCATTTGGGGGAATGAAGCAGAGACCATTAAGTTCACTAACTGAGTCAGGATTTATTATACACGTAAGGTCAATTACACATCAAGTCTACCTCTCTGCTTTTATACTTCTGCGTTGAAAATGGCCCACTTTCTGAGAATAGTCATTCATTTCAATATTGTTTTTACATTTTCTATGAATTTTCTTACTTTGTTTTATGGCTGGCTGTGAAAAAGTAACTTCTTATCTGGCAATTACAGTTATGGAAGTTTCTATCTGCTTACTTTGCATCACAGGTGAAACTTAGTCTGAAGCCAAGTAACTTTCTCATGAAAAGCCTTTGTGAAGAGAGCTAAGACATGGCTGTTGAAAAGGATTTCTCAAAATCAACAGTCAATACACTACGTCTCTTTTGCATTTTACCTAACCGAACATTTTAAATTTGTTCCACATTAGTAGTGTAGAATGTGCTCCTTCATGAAAGAGAAAGCTGAAGAGACTTGCTAAAAACAATCTTCTTTGTCACTAGATCATTGGTGTGAGACTAATGTCTTCCACGGTAGTAAGAAAGCGATTCATATTGTGTAGCCTTATCGCTACTGGATTGCACTACTATAAGACAAATAAGCAACAACACTGGAATATTAATGCCATACTAATATAGATGTGTAAAAAGAGTGCATAAAATTCTCCCTCCCAATTTTAAGAAAATTTATGGTAATGGAAGTCAAGTTTAAGAAAAGTTTTGTCTGTTATCATATTAGTATACATGTTATTTTATGTGCACAATCAGTTAGACTCATAAAAATACCAAGTTTTCATAGTTAGATTCCTAACTCTTGTAGTCAACTTTGAAATTATTACAAAGATTAGCAAATTCTCATTTTAAGTACTGCACTAACTTGATCTCATTAAGATAGCATTTAAAAACAGCAAAATATAATGAAAAATTAAAATTGAAAATTTATATTCTCTGTGAACAAATACAACAGATTTTCTTCTAAAACTCCAGACCACTTGAAGAAAAGCCAAATTATAAGGGAGAAAATGAAAAAGTTCAGTTTAGACGAAGAAAATATCCTAGCTTCAAGTGTTTGGAATTGATTTTAAAAGCTTTTCTATGTGAACTCCCACCCTGATACGAAGGGTAAGCAGACAGGTATGTCATGTCATCACAGCATGCAGTACTGCCTGCTACTGTAGTAGGTCCACAGCCTCCTTTGCATCTGCGATAAATCCACACCCTCCAAAGCAGATTTTTAAAATATTCAGTACGTTTTAAGTTCCTAAAATGGGCCCTTTTATTGTGTCCCATTTCCTTGTTGGATAATAGATTCTCTTATTTTAGCTTGGCTCTCTTGAAGCCTTTTTCAATCTAGTTTGGCCAAGTCCAAAGCATGTGAATGTGGTCTTCAGTGTTATAAGGAAACACACTGAACCACCCTCATGGAAAGAAACATAAATACTTTCCTAAAAACATGCTTACGTAATTTTCTTTGCCACCACAGACAGTAATAATGTTTCAGTGTTGCTAAAGAAATTAAGATGGTCAGAACATAGATTTACAGTAAAAGGGAACTGCCCCTCAACACATCAAATGCATTGTTGAAGCAACAGTTCAGAAGTCAAGTAGTAACAAACAGCACATGGACCAATGTAGCTACCATCCACCTTATCTTGAATAAAACAGGCAATATGAAAAAGTGATTAACAATGAGCTCATAGCTAGTTCTAGTTGCTTGATACTACCTTGAGCTGCAAGAACTTAATTGCTTTATTCCCACTTGCACATTCTAACAAAAATTGAGTATACATGAAAATTCAATAACAACGTTCTGCCTACCTGCCACAACGCTTCACAATAAAACAGCATCACAACACCTCTCTCTTTCAAGAATATTCGGTAAGACACCAAGATCAGTAAAACTTGAAGAAAAACTTTAAATATTGACCATAAATGTGTATATAAGAGCATTTCAAGCATGACAACAGAACAATGATATAATTTATGATACCACATCAACAAAAATACAGTCTAAAGAACATATGAATGAATAATGATGTTTTCATGTGCATTAAACTTCCAGATGCAGGAATTATGTTTGAAAACACATGCATGCACAGCTAGAAATCATGTTCCTTCTTTTTAGCCAGTAGCTATACTCTAGACTAAAAATGTTTATATGATTTCCTCGGCTAGTGCAGACAGTACACAATATTGAATCAACATGCCAAAACAAGACATCCTTTTCTGTATCAGACAATCCTGATGCTGCAACAGTACCCCTAAAAAACATTTGGAGTTACAAGTGTGGAGAAAATTCCAGAATCGTAATTCTTTGTCTTTTAACATTTCCTTTATCAATGAACTTTCTGTCATATCCTTTCTAAAGACAACGACTGATATGAGAAACTATAAGTAAAAGGGAAAATAACAAAAATTGTAAATGAAATAATGTAAAATATCAAAATAGTTATCAGATTTCCTAAAGATCCAAAACTAAAGGAGGAAAGTTATCAGGTAAATAAAATTGAGTCCCAATTAAAACTAACATGAGACCATACCACAGTAATAGGTCTTACATTGCCATAACAAGAAAAAGTTTAAAGATAAATATAATTTGAATGCAAAATTTTCTCAACTACAGTCAAAATTATGAAATAAAAGTATGAGAGAGCTCTTTCTTCATTTGCAAAAAAGAAACAGATAGGTGTTACCCTTTCCTTTTCTAGTTTTAGCTTTTTTACAGCAATCTTGTGTCAAGGTTTGAACTTCTTAAAAACAAGTTTTTTATGTTGAGTTTGGCCCCAAATCAGTGAATTAAAATACAAAATAATAGTCTAAAGATAAAAAATGCTGTACTTTGGAAAAGCAGGGTTACACTGAATGAGCTTAATATGAAGAATTTTATATATCACATAAAGCACAAAAGAAATAAAGTATACAAGAGCCATAATATTGTTTATATTACAACTTAAATTAATTTTTCAGTTTATTATCAGGGATCATTTTCTACAATATAGAATACAAAGGGGGACATAAGATTTTGCTCTGATATTTTGAATAGTTTTTTTTATTCTTCGGGCAATATAATCAGATTAGCTAATACAATATTGTTTCTACAAATGAATACTTCTGCAGTAATTTAATTCCTATTGCAGAACTTTTTTTTTACTTGGCGAGTATTTCACACCTGAGTTATTTTATTGAAATGAGTTGAGACTTCTGTTTAAGGAGACCTCTTCACCCAACAGAAGAAATAATTTCACAAGTGTACCCTCTTTGTAAGTAATATAATGGCCTTTCCAAGATCACAGTTGTATTACAATGTATTATAAATATCTAGCTTCAAAAATGGATTTAATTTCACACTAGCCTAAAAAGATTCCAATCCAATGCGTTTAGCATAGTAACTGTATATTGTACTTGTCTAGAATAATGTTGCATTTTAAATTGTTCCGTAAGGATTCAATGCGCAAACCCTTTAGAGTCAGCAGATTTCATTTGGCATTGGATGGATACTAAAACGGATCTCTGGATGAATACTTCTCAGAAGTACATAGTACTATTTTTTTACTGTATAATTATAAAATCATTACAGATTTATATTAGAAATCATTCAATGACAATTTTTTTTAAACAACTATATGTTAATAAACTGAATTTCTGCTTCATTTTATAATTTACCCTTCTTCACAATATGAGAAACTACACAGCGGAATAAAATTCTGTTCCTTTTGAAATCAATAACCAGTTGCGACTGACTTCAGACATGTCAGAACTTGATTTGTTGTCTGTCTGAACTATATTAGTTAGCTCTTTTTCTTTTATCTTGGTGTGTTATAGTCATAACAGAACGTAACACACCTATTGTAGCCAAAAGATTTGTGTAAAATATTATACACGTTTTAAATTTGCACTATCTGCATTATCCTGATGCTATACAATGTTTAATTTCATACCTTCTCTGAAGCTAAAATGAATATCATGCAATAAAATAAAAAAATCCAAAGTGCTTAGTTGTTTGACTTCTCCAATTCTTTAAGATTGTAATTTTAAGATGAAGGGGGGAACAGGAACTTACCTACTTGGTACTTTGGGTAATAAGTTGCCATTTGTCCACTACTGCATGATTGTCTCTTATGCCTTTTTCTTATATTTGTATCAGTGGTCTCCCATTGTGGACTTTTTCTTTTGTTTATTCTGATAAGAACTTCAGAACTACCAGCAGGATTATCATCATGGTTTACACCACTACTTAATTTTCTGCTGTGAAACTGGTCATCCAGCCTTTCAGTCACTTTAGAAGAATTAGGTCCTTTAGACGTTTCCATTTCATTTTCTTGTTTCTTTAATGCATTTTGCTTAGTAGAATGGGACCTTAAAAGAGGATGTCTTTTTTCTTCCATATAGGCCTGATTGCTTTTACTTTCAACAGCTTCAGGAGAATAAATGACATTATTTAACTTAAATGAATTGTGCTGCTCAATATGGTTGATTTTTCTCAGAAATATCCTACAATCTTTAAAGGTTTTGGCTTTCCAAGTATTTTGAAACAGTTTATCTTGGCTTTGTTCTTTTCTAACATTTTGTTGGCAACAAATTGTTCCATTTGTCTCTGCATGTGACTTAAGTATATTTGCTAAAACAGGATGTGGGTTAAAGTCAGAAGATCTCATCATCTGCTGAACAAATGCATCTCTGGCTTCATTTTCAGTTGGCAAGAGGCTACTCTGAGATTCTACCAAAGTCTGAGTGGGCTGGACTTCTACTGTATTTTTTTCCTGGAGCTTGGGCATTCCATCATTGGTTTTCTCACTTGCACTTTTAAACAACTGGCTTTGGCAAAAGAACTGCAAATTTTTCTTTTTTGATTTCCAGCCTCCGGAAGCCTGATTATAGAGCTTTTTCGTTTGTCCCCACCTATCACGCTGTAACTTCTTAAATTCATTTCTTTTTAATCTGGCTAACGTGAAATTACTTTTCATGCTTAAGACTGGAGACCTCACCATGTTATGTAATATTTGTAATTTCCCTGCTGGTTTTGAAGGAGAGGATAGTGCAAACTTTTTAAAGTGCTTTCTGAAAGGACAAGTACTAAGATCAGATTGTTTAGTTTCCATCTTTATCTCTCTAGTACTAACTACTTCTAAAGGATTGCGAGCATTTGCCTTTCTCACTAGAGAAAGAGACTGTGTTTCTGTAGTTTGCATAAACCAGGTGCAGAGTTCATTCATATCACACTTTTTCTGAAAAAGCATTTTTACAGGTGATGTTTCAAGTTCTACAAGGCAGGAGTCTAAAGGGTTTGACATTTCAGTATTACAGGCTTGTTCAATGGGATCCCTTTTTTCACATACACATTTATCAAACTCATTTCCCCCCACTCGCAACCAGGTATTAGTTATCTGTTCAAATCTATTATTTAGTTCTTCCAACAGAGTGTCACTTGAAGTAGAAGTAGCCCACCACCTGAGAGAGGGATTAGATGAAAAAATAGGATCCGATGATACTTCATTAATGGGCCCGAATTCACCATCCTCAAGATCCTTTTTTGCATTTCCTGAATTTCTCAGTTCTGAGGTATCTTTGGATGTCGTGCTCTGATTTGATTGCCTATGTTTTTCCTTTCGATCTTTAGCTTTTTTCAAATGGAGTTTGTAAGATTTACGTAGTAAGGCACTTCTACAAGTAAATGCACTAGAAGATGCTAATGAATGTAAAAAATGCAGCGAGGGTTTTCTGTCTCTAGCAGAATGTCTCAATGGAATTTCACGTTTTCTTGACACTGTTGTAATAACATTGTTTGATCCATCCTCTTTAGAATCTTTCTGCATGCTCTTTACTTGACCCATATTATTGCACAGTTGATTTTTTCTCTCCTGTGGTATGTTTTTTTCTAACACATTCTGCTGTTGTAAAGGAGGCAAACAGTTGCTAATACTAACTTTTCTTTCCTGAGGTGAAACTCTACTAACAGTCACTGATATGCCGGATATTTTTACTTTTGCTGGCCTACCAGGTTTTCGAATGGTGGTTAATGGTTTCTTAATTGGCCGTATAATATTGCTGCAAGGATGTGGTGATGCTAGGTTACTCTTGATAGGTCTGACATAGTCATAACCAGAGACCTCATTTTCAGTAGAAGAATTCTGTAAGGCTTTTACTATTTCAGTCAAAGCATTTTCAGTTTCTGCATTGTGCCTCGCTTTGCTGTGGTGATTGGCAAAATTAGGATCAATGTGTTGTGTGGGCAGAATGCTGATTACATTTGGATTACCTTCAGAAACATGTCTCTTAGTTCTTCTTGACCTTCCAAAAACAACTGTCACCGTAATATTTTTGTTGCTGTTAACTTCTTCCATTACTGCTGCATCAGATTCGGTACTTTTACCATCACGGCTAAGTTCAGGTCTAGATTCTGTGCTTTCAGTCATGTCTATTTTTGGTTTTGGAGGCCGTCCAATAGGTCTCTTGACCTGCTTAACAACTTGAGGACCTATTTTCTTTGGTCTACCAGGTTTTCTTTTTAAAACCGATTCACTGCTACTGCTTGATTTCTCCACAACTTCGTTGTTTTGTTTCGAGTCATTTAAGTTAGTTTGACCAACTGGACAAGAGCTTGTAATTGCTTCCACATAAACACAGCTTGACTCCCCCTTGGTATCATTTTCACTGTAATCACAATCCTTGACACAGATTGCAGAAAGATCTCCCGTGGCCTGTTTGTCTAACAAAGTGTTTGTGTGCCCCTGAAACAAATGAATATCTGTGCGTCCTTTAGAAGATGCAGCTGCAGATGTCAAAGTATATTTGACTCCTTCGCTACTATTAACCTCTGAGACAAACATAAGCTTAATAGGACTAGAGTAGTTTAAAGGAGATGAGATCTCCCCAGCTCCAGAAGTTGTATGCAAGTCCTCATTATTGGAAGTTGAATTGGATGAATCAAGGGTCAGAGATTTCAAAAGGCTGTCATTAATTTCTTGATCTATAACCATGTCTTGTTTGTTTGTTGTCACACAGACAGTTTTGATTTTACTGCTGCTTGACACATGTGAATATGGAAGGAAGCTTTGTCCTGTGCATCCCATTTCACTCAGAGTGAAAGGTAAGCCTCTTCTGGCAGCTGGGTTCATAACCTGTTCATAAGTATTATCTTTTAATTTTTGGCTTATTTTGTAACTATCCAGCAAGGAGTTGTTAGTCTTTCTGGCTAAGTTTATTGTATCTTCTAAACGCTCTACAACAACTTGCAGATTTGTGTCTCTCACAATTTTGCTTACATTTACGTCACTACATCTTTCAGCATGAACATCTTTATTTATTTTCATTTTTTCCAAACTTTCTAAAGACTTTTTTGCATTGAATGTCTTTCTAAACACAATATTGTTCGTTACATACACAGAGTACCATCCAGGAGGCACAATGTTACGTTTAGTTCTACCCAAGATTCCATTACTCTCATCCTTTAGAGGAATTTGATCAGTCTCTTTTAAGGTTGCACAATCTCCTTGTGTTTTTACGAGTTTCGCCTGGCTGGCTGCAATAGCACTGTTGTCTGAAAGAACTAGAAAGCCAGAGCTGGTTTGAAAATTAGTAAGAGGTAGTTTGAAAGACTCTGTTTGGTGTACTGGAAAGCACATTGGTTTGGTTTGGCAATTCATGCATGGATTACTTTCAAGATGTTGCAAAGCCTCATCTTCTATCACAGTAAAACTGTGTCTTTTATTTGGATATATTTTATCAATTTTTTTTGCAGATTTCTTTGCATTTCTCTCAGAAATTGACTTTTTTCTTACAAGAGTTTCATCAAGGCTTGCAAGCTCCCTCTTGATTTGCAAAGATTGTCGTCGAATGAATGGTGAATCGGGAGAATTATACATTGCAAATAAAGTTTCCTGACGCTTGCGAAATCTTGTTTGGATAATTTTATTTTCCATTTGTTTGTCATGTTGGTGAAGTAACTCCATAAAGCTGTAATCACTTGCCTTAGCATTATGCAAAAGAGAGGTTATGAAGTCTCCTAATTTGACATCATTTTCTGGTGCCCTGTCACTGCTAGAAAGTTTTACAAGATTTGTTGCTATATCTGTAGTGTCTATTGATTTTAACTTTTCATTAATACGGTCCATTAAATCTTGAAAAATGGCAGAATGTTCACCTTTCTCAGCCTTCTCAGAATTTATATAATAATTGTTGCTTTCTTCGTCTGTTGATAGCAACGTTCCATCTGAATATTTGGTCTCTTTTCCTCTGTATGTTTTACCTTCGTATTCAAATTCTCCTTTGCTTCCTTCAGCTGGCAAGAGGGATGGAGGCTGGTTGATCGATATTTCAAGCTTGTTATTGTCTAAAGTTGGAAAATCTACAACCGATCCTTCTGATGATTCAAATTCTTTACTCTCTACAGGTGATAGTGGAGGTGGTGATGGGCTGCGAGATCTATTTGAATTTTTAATGCTGTTCAAAAGATCACAGTCCTTAGTTGAGTATGCACATGCTGCTGTTTTCACAGAATGCCTGTTATAATTTTGTATTTGTTCAGCACAATACTTATGAGAACTACATGCTTTGTTCACCATTGTCTTAATACATCCAATCGCTACAGCTTGGCATGACAAAGAATGGAAATCTTTAATACAAACAGACAGAGGTGGTAAACAAGTGTTTGGTCTTTGATTTTGTAAACAGCACCTTTTTGTCAGCATTTGTCCATTGCAATTGCAAAATGAAACGTGAACATCCTCTTCAGTAAGGGAACTGGGAGTTTCAGAGTGGACCAACGGTGTTTGCTTGCAACTGCAAACTATAGGAACATTTTCATCTTGTATTAAAAATTTTAACATAGCCAAAGTCTGTTGCCAGTGATATGAACAAAATGACTCCAAAACTTTGTTTAATGTTGATTTTCCTTTTTCCAAATTAGCTGTTTCCTCTGAATTTGCATCAGCTGTTGAGCTTGAACTGAAAATGAAAACAAATCAAAACAAAATATAAATTACAGTAAAACACCATATCTAATGTTTGTTATAATGGTTAAACTCAAGCCTAAAAACCTGAAGTTTGCAAAACAGTTCTGTTCTATTTGCACTATTCAGTCATACTTGCAAGTGTCACTAGCAATGATGTGCATCTTATCTATAGCAGCGATAGTCCTACCGTAAGAAAAATAATCAGGAAGAAATTAAGGGACAAAAAGAATAGTTTGAAACATAGCTTCCTGTATCTAAATGTAATTACAATAATGTTAACTTCCTAATATTTCAAACTACCTTAGTCATTAACGAAGGAAAACCTCACCAAGAACCTGGGGAGCTTAGTATTACTCCCATTTCACAAACTGAGGCAAAGAGAGGGTAAATGACTTGCCTAAGGTCACAATTCAAGGTTGTGGCAGAGGCAAGAATGGCTCCATCTCTCCTGAATCCCACCCCAAGATATTCATATACCAAAGTGTATTGAATGCTCTTCAGGATACTCTTAAAGATCCTTCATAAAGACATTTTTATTTATATGTTTATTTTTAAAGAACACTTAATAGGCTAACAGAAAATGGAAAAAATAGCCACTTGCTACTGTTACTGTTCTTTGCAGATAAAAGTTTCCGTTCTAGTTTTTAAATAAATTGCAGTGGTGCATCACAGACTCTTCATTGCAATATATTACACACACATACACACACGTGCACATGCGCGCACACACACACGGATTCCTTCATAAACAGAAACAGATAATCACCACTGGAATAAATAACTTCTGTGATCAAGGTTAATATCCTTTAAATCTCAAATATAGGGTAGGCCTATGTCTAAATAAGACTTCTGAGCAGTTGTTCTCAAAGATATTAGCTCAAAATAAAATCACTTATAAAATACTACCTTAACTATTTAATGAATTTCTTATAAATTATTAAAACTAATGTCACTACTTACCTAATCAATCATTTATATTGAAAAGCTGAAAATTTTCCATGGTAGAAATTAATACAGATATTTCTTCAATTAAATACAAAATCCTTATGCTGGATAGCAACTATCAACAGATAGTTAACACCTAGTTCAAATGTTTTACTGAAACCAATTGCATGAGCAGAAAATGTTAGAAGAATTCTGTTTTAGAAAAGTATGTATTGTTTAAACATATCACCAAACTCTGAACATGACACTAACTTTTTGCCCTACTATTATCTCCTGTAATTTTTTGCATTTAAGCCTGAACTTTGGAAAAATTTCATTTTGATTGGGTTTATGACTGTACTGAGCAAAGAACAAGCATATTTAAAATTTCATGTGCTGTATTTATATAAAGTTACCTATTAATTAATTAGGTCATACCCAATGTTATTAGCATCAATAATAACTTTCAGGTTCAGGTTTCTGACTGGAAGTTATACATACAAATCTGTATTTTTATTGTCCCACACGGATTTTAAAGTTTAGAGCTTAAAAACAGCCAACTATGCTTAATAATTCCTCATGTTTTTTCCTTTTCCCGTAATATTTAGTATGAAACGGTATATATTCAAAATCAAGCATCTGGATGATACTAACTCATTAAAGCATAAGATAATTGTGATGGTACTAGTTGAAATTGTGATTATGTTTAAACTGCAATAATTGAAGTCTTAAAAAGAAAAAAAACCCCTCTTTGCACTTGCAATCTAAAGTAAAAACAGCATTATTCAAGGGCATGTCATTGTCAGAATTTAACTTTTTGAAACGCCACTTCACTGAGAAGAGTCTGAGTGTTACTCAGTCCAACAAACTCAGGAGTCACGAACTGTTGAAATGTACCACTACACTTGTGAAAACAAAGCTTATTCTAGTATTACAATTACAGATAAAAACTAATTGCCCTCCCCACCACCATGGCTTTAATTAAATAATGTTTTGAAAGGTCAGATAAAAAAAAAAAGAACACAGCACTAGGTCTTCAATATTTTGTTTGTAAATCACAGTAAATTTAAGTACTAATTTGCTAAAGAGATGGCTATAGTACAGTCTTTTTAGACTGAATCTCTAGACAGATACCTTTCTGTCTGTCTAGACTTGCAAGGTATGTCTAACGGAGTTTCACTGGAGAGCTTTAATTGTGGAGGACCTGTATCCATAACTGCTATTTAAAATATGCTCACTGGTGGAAGAAACTTCCAGAGCCCTAAAGCCTTCTCAAAGTCAGTAACCAAAATTTCCAAAGGCCTCAAAACTGCTTTGAATTTGCTATGTGGAGATCAACCTGTTGTATAAAGTAATATCCTGGTTATCACAGACATACTGGACATTCTTCTAATACGCTTTCTTTCCTAGTTATCTACCCTTGTGTAACATCTATAATCTGCTTTCCCTTAGCGTGTGTTAGTTTCTAAAGCTGACAGACAACTTAACTTCATCTATGCTATTGTAATAGTACCAGACTCCAAATGATCTTCCAAGTTTGAGAAAGCACATCGACCCTTTACTCAGTCACCATTTGGGAACAGAGCTTACTACGCAAACAAATTAAATCATTAAAGCAACACATTTTCTTTAAAGTGTCTCTCTGTAGAGATGTCCATATATTTAAACAAACTAATTTTTTAGTAGCTCTTCAATACAATTAGGGAATTACATTTCAGTTTCCTGTAATTCCTTCCTATGGCCCTTTAAATTTGTGCTGTCACACAGTAGTTTACATTATTCTCAAGATAAAAGGCTTAAACAATAATTTCATAGAAGGAAGAGCTATCACTTTCACAATTGCATACTTCCTTCACAGAACACTCTTACACTTCCTACAAATCGCACTCAAAAAGATGGCTAGAGAGAGTGAGTAGGAAATAGAGGGGTTGAGAGGTGAGAGGATCAATACGCGCTGCTCCCCCAGTACCTTTTGCGCACAACATCTCTGAAGACAAAAGTTAAGCATGGAATGACATTATTTCCCTGCTGGAGGGCAGGGGCAGTTAATACCATGGAGAGGGGATTGACTGGAGTCCAAAATTGGCACAAAGGCAGAGACGTGATAAGGTTAAATACTAGCCTTTCAGCATATTATTTTATGTATAAAAAAGTAAACATTTGCCTCCTCCAGAAATCCAAAAAGCTATCAGGAAAGAGCTCTATCAGAGGACTCCCAAAAGATATCCTTCCCTAGCCTTCTATCCTCTGTCGTCTCAGCCACAGACAAGATAGATCAA